ACACCAGTTTTCAGCTCAGTCTTATATAAACAGCTATGAGCTGAATACAGCACCTCAGACTGAAGAAGTCTTTCAAATTAAAGACGAAACGTTTCTACATGTGTTTTTTGTGTTTTGTTTTTTGAATGTCAAGAGGACCAGACTTAACTTTTTTAGATTTAAATATAAATGTTTTTGTAGAATCTGGTTCATCAGATTTAATTCAGTTCAGTTTATTTATACAGCGCCAAGTCACAACAGACGTTGCAGGGCACAGAACAGAAATATTCATATATAACATAAGTTAACAGAAACATTCATATATAAAAATAATAATTTAATATTTTTTATTTGAGGAGCAGACTGCTTTGAGTAACTCATTGCAGAACTCTCATTAGCAGGACTTGGATTCTGGACACGCCTCCAGAATCGGTCCTAAAGTGCAGGTGCAAATCCAGGCTGAGCTGAGCCAGGCTGAGTAGGGGTGTGCAGGGCTGAGCAGAGTTGGGGCTGATTAGGAGCAGTGAAAATGGGGCATAAGAGTTACCACTCAGCCTAACATGCATGTTTTTGATCAGTGGGAGGAAACTGGAGTACCCAGTGTAGCGATATGGGGTATGTTTTGATTATCAGTTATGAGTTAAGCTCATAAAATATGCATGTATTATGCAAATAACCTTGTTGTTTGGACACCGCCTCTCTTTTGGAGAGGAAAATCAGTCTCTATTTACCCCAAAATAGTGTAAATTGAACGTGAATTATTTTCTCATGTTTAAAGGGCATCAAATCAATTAATACACACAATTAAGCCAACAATAAATCACAAATTCAGTTGATTTTTATGTATTTTATTATAAAAATAATAATCTGTGATATATACAAAGTATATATGGTGAAAATTATGCATGACAAAAGTTAACCGAATATCAAATGATGTTGAATCAAAGGTCTAATTGATTATTAAAATGAGTGAAACTTAAAAGGCAGACTTAGGACTGGTTTCTGTTTGTGAAGTGGTTAAAATTGTATTTAAGGTGAGCTAAGTTTGTCTGATAAGTTTATTGTGATGTAGAGTCACCAGAAAGGCATTGAAAAGTCTCTCTCCTACCAGGATGTAGATCGGTCAGAGCATGGTTCTGACAGCTGCAAATGATACCAGCAAGGCCTCAGATGTTCCGGAGGCTGAAGTCTCCTCAAAGTTCACCTGTCATGGGTTGGAGGGACGAAGGCCCATGCTTACTGGTTCTGGCAGTCAACTGGGATTTACCACTCTTCTGCCGTGGAATTCTAGTTGCCTGGTAGACAGCTCTCGAAGCCCTGGGTTCTGGAGACATTTAAATGCTGGGTTCTGTGAACCCCATCTTTTCTTTTTGTCTTTTGTCTCGAGATATCTGCAGAAGGTGCTTCTCTCCTTTCTCGTTCTTCCTAGGATGTCTCTAGGAGGTTTAGTGTGAAGTTGCTTCTTCTCTCTCTCAAGTCAAGTGCGAAGGCTTTGGAGTTTTTCTTAACAGTGAAACTTACTGTCTGTGCTAAAACAGATGGGACTGGTCCACCTTGAGACGAGGTTGTTCTACCTCTTGGCCTTGTTTTATAAATCTAAAGTCCTTTATCTGCCTCAAAAGTTTCATTTAAAAAACAAAAATAAGACAAATGTATTATCTTAAAGAAAGATTACTTAAAACACATTTCTCATGAATAAACATTCAAAATATGACATCTTTGGAATTCAACTTAAAACATGCAATGTTTTAACAGAGGTGTCTCTATTGACTGTCCATCTCCTGGAAAGGGAATATCATTAGAACATACAATGGACTCTTTATTGTACCATCTTCCCATGGGAGCAAGTCTGAGAAAAGTACTCCTTTTTGATAAGGGAAGATATCAAACGTAGCAAGTTCGGATGTTTAGAAATTCCGAGGTCAATTGAACAAAAGCTCTCATTAAAACGGTCTCTCAGTTCATACAAAAGCCTTGGGTTATTGAGTTCATATTGTCAGGTGATGTTAACACAATAACAGTTTTTTTTAAATTACATTAGTGTCATCTTAGAAAGTTTGTGAGCTGAGACAATGAATAAAATATGTCTGTTCATTCCCAAGGGAATAGATGAATATTATTTTAACAGTTTCAAACATAAAACACAAGAATGATGTTTGTTTGAGGGGTGGTGCCCCATTTTTCTGAGGTGAGGTGTTCCCCTACACCGGAAAAAACCCATGCATGCACGAAGAGAACATGCAAACTCCACCCAGATGGGCCCCCGGGCTGGGATTTCAACCGGGGACCTGCTCGCTGAGAGACAGCAGCTCTACCAGTTGTGCCACCATGTTGCCCTAAGTTTAGACAATATATTCAAGTTTAGGCCAAATTTGGTCTGATTTTAAATCCCAGGTTTTACATGTAGTCCCACAAATTTCATACATCATTTTAAAGGTTTCACTATAGGTTTCCAACAAACTGCACATGTAATATATTTTTCACACGTAATCTCACATTTAGATAATTTACGATGTAAACTCAAATATTTTCCATGTAATCATTTTAAGTTTCACACATAATTCCCCTCTCACATGAAGCGGAGTAGCAAACATCTTTTTCCACCAAAGAAAACACATTTAGAGTCTCTCTGCCTACAAGAAATGAATTAATCAGAATCTGCTTTATTGTCATTGCACCAAAGTACAACGAAATTGCATTTCAGTACAGCCCGTCTGAGAGAAACAAACATGAGGAGATGGAGGTGACTGAGGCCGCCGGCCTCGAGAGGTGCAGCCCTGTTTTCAGATAAGGAAAATGTGCCCTTTCTTCTTACACGTGACATTGTCAGTTTTTAACTCCAGCACATCAGATTTTCCTTCGCTGCCACCTGGCACAGCAGGTTTAGCTGGTTCCACAGGTGAAAAAGTTTTTACAAAATCCTTTCCACTACCATTAGATTTGTTAAATCTATTAAAGTTGTGTTTGTGCGCTCAAAATTAACTTTGTGCATATTCATCAACGAGCACCGCAGCTTTTGACACATCCACTTCCTTATTCTCATTCAAATAAGTGGCAACTTTTTCTGGCAAGCAGTTTTTAAAGTCTTCCATCACAATTAGCTGTTTAAGCTGCGTAAAATCCTTAACATTTTTAGATACACACCACCGATCAAAAAATGTCCTTATCTCTTACGAATTCTACAAAAGTTTGATTATAGTGCTTTTTTAATTTGCGAAACGTCTGGCGATATGCTTCAGGAACAAGTTCATATGCCCACAACGCAGCAATTTTAACTTAATCACAATCAAGGCTATCTCCAGCTGACAGAGATGCATAAGCTTCTTGTGCTTCGCCAGTCAACACGCATTGCAACAACAAAGACCACACATCTTTAGGCCATTTAAGTGTAAGTGCAACTCAAATAATCTGAAATGTTTATCCACAACTTGTTCATTAAATGAAGGAACTAAACAAATATTTTACTCACATCAAAATCCAATGATTTGGACTCCAAAGACCCAACACCAAGTTGGAGTTCTTTTAAACAAACTTCAGCTTCAATCTCCTTTTGTCTATGCTCTAAATCAAGTCATTTTAATTGTTCTTTCACTTCAGCTTGTATCTCCAGGTCTTTTTCTTTTAACTGCAACTCTTTTTCTTTCATTTCATTAATTTCTTTACTTTGTTGCAGTTCCAGTCTTAATTCAATCTCAAGTTCCTTCAAATGAACAGCATGATCTTGCAATGAAGCTTCAGATGATGACTCAAGCTGACTCGGTGGCAAAATTGTAGCAGGAAAAATTTGAAGTTTAACCAGTGCTGCTAGTAACTCGACCTCAAATACTCCTCTCCTAGCCCGTTCAGACACCACAACTTCAAAATGCTCAGCCACTAACAGGAATTGATCTTTTGTGCATCTAAACAAGACTTCAAAAGTGGGTACTTTTACAAACTCATCCATGTTAAACTCCATGCTCTACTCAGAATCAAGACACCACACAAAGCCAAAGTACAAACAAAGCTACCAAGTACAACACTCAAATGTCCAATCAAGCTCTCAACTTACTCCAGCTGTCGGACACGCACACACTTAAAACCCTACCTCATCACAAAACTCTACACATGGGCAAATGTTTTATTAAAAACAAGCCCACATTAATATGGGGAAACTAACAACAAAATTTGGATTTTTTTTTTGACGAGCCCCCATTAATATGTTACGTCCATCAAGGGCACAACATATTAAAGGATGACTTGAAGATGAGGGTTCAACTTTCAATTTATTTGCTTCCTGTTAAAAAAAAAAGAAAAGATAATTGGGAACCCCCAATTTCCGTGCCCACCAAAAGAGAAAAAAAGACAAAGTAAAAACTTAAAGATGGATCTGGTGAGTTGGTCAAACAGAAACAAAAGGTAGCGCAGCGAACAGGGCCGGCGAAGCCGCTGCTGTTACTAGACTAAGATTACAAAAAAACCCTAAAAAACGCCTATTGTAAAAGAAAAGGCAAAAATAGGACAACTGGTCCCAACAGGCTAAAGTTACTACAAAATTATACAAATGTTAACAAAAATTACCTTCAAGCTGCAAGAAAAAATCCAAGGTAGAGAATGAAGCCCAGAAGAATCCAAGGGCGTCCATAGAGCAGTCCAAACCAAAAATGAGCCCAAAAAGAAGAAAGCTTCTGAGAAGGGCAAGCTCCTAAAGGCCAGCCTATTTATAGGTGGGCAGAAAATGCCACATCCTACAACAATTAAAGGTTAATTAGCCAACCCAAAAAATGACCAAAGGACAAAACAATAAGGCCGATGTGCTTCAGGCACATAACACTGATGGAGATAAACACCAGCTCCCACAAGACCCAAGGCAGAAACACAGATAAAGAAGATGGATGGATAGAGGTGATTAGAGCTGCCTTTGTAAAAAAAAAGAATACAAAACAGAGTACTAAAACTATACGCTGGTACCTTAGAATCAGTAGAACCATGAAGTCTTTTGACAGTCCTAATATGTTGAAATCTACAAAGCGTTGGTGTTTGATTTAGGTCCTGACTTTGATATACCTGCGACTTAGGTTTGCTGTAAACTTGGACTTTGTTGTAGATACTGGACTTGAAGTATTAGAGTGTGGTGGTTGTCTGCAATGAACCTGACAGTGACGAGGCAGGTTGGTGCATAAACGTCGAGGTTTGTCTGACTCCTTTAAAGTCCAAAGCTGTGAGCTGTTACCATGCTGCTCTAACTGGGAATTGAGAAGCTTTCGAGCGTACGTGATCTCTGGAGTGATGTACTTAAGGCAGATCCTCTTTGTCTCTTTACTGATTTTTGATGGGAGATTGTAACTTGCTATTTTAACATTTTTACTGGGCTGCCAGGGGCGAAGATCCTTGTTTTTGATCACAGAACCTGAAAGAGGAACTGGTGTTTTCTCCCCAAAACATCTTTTCATTAGTCTCTCTTGGGCCAGTCGAAGAAGATACACCTCCTTCGCTACACAGTCTAGACCTAGAGCTGATAGTTTGACCCATAATGAGGCATTAAAGTAGTCATAAAGGTATGCATCTATTGAATTCCAGGTACGAATCTTTGCAGAGAGACTTGGTGGCAGAATTTTTTTGGAACTTTCTGTTCGCATGTTGAGCTTGACATATACAATATCATCCAAATCCCAAGAAAGGAGACGACGAAGAAGAACTAAAGATTCATCAAAATACTCAGAAATCATCACCAAGGAGAAAACTTTTTCCACCTCTGTCACAAAGGCCTGAGCATAAGTCATATCTGGCCGACTGTTGTTTCCACCCAAGTCAAAGGTCAAGGTGTTGCGTGCATACATAGAATCTGTCTCGTTTGGCCGGTAATATTGTAAGGGGTCTGCTAAGAAGGCCTCCAGAGAGTAATTTGGGGCCCTCCTGAGGCTTTTACTGTGACAGGTGTAGTAAGTGAACAAAGATTCAAACATGGAAGCTGGCTCTCTCAAGATCGTGATGTATATTGTATCATTTGGCATCAGGCGTTGCAGTGCAGTCTTATTGAAGCGCATGTGGCTGGTGATCATATTTGCTGGCAGTGTTTCCGGTTGAACAAACTTAGAGGAGAAGAATTGTGGGTAACAAAACTGAACATCACATCTTAGTACAGGCATTGCCATTTTCAGGTTGTTGTTCTCAGTAAATCTAAACAGTATATTCTGCAATGTGCTGCTGGCTGTTTTGTGGGTCTTGAGGAAGACAATGTTGGTGTGCTTAGGCTTCATAGAGCGACCGGTCGGGCATCCAAGATGGAAGGCTTCCATGGTCCTTTGAATAGAAACAAAATATATATGTAGAAACCCCAAGCACACATATATATGTATAATGATAATGTGTCTAAATCAAATACAATTTTGAAATCGCTGATCAGTAGTAGAGGTATAAGCTGATGTACAGAGGGAATACAGAGTATTAAAAACGATAACAAAGGAAGAAATTTAAACAAATATTGGCAAAGACAAATCAATTTCTAGTTCTTCTAGCCAAAAAAGTTCCCTGTGCTACGTTTTCAGCTATGCAAGATTTGTTGCAAAATGGTGCTTCAATAATTATAAAACCCTACAAATTTAAGATAAAAATATGATTTAAATGTTAGTAAATGTTTTACACTATTTGTTTTACACAAGTATGTGTGCATTTCACAAATTGTTAAAGGGAATTTAATAAACTGGTGCAAATGGTACTCTCTCTGAGTGATGAAGAAAAAAAAAAAGATCACTCCAAGATTTTTGGATCTTCAATTTTAGGAGGAGAACTTAACCCTATATGTTGTCTATTTTATTTGTCTCTTTGTTTTTCATCTGATGAACCAGCATCATTTTCAGTGTGCCTTGACTTTTGAACAGTGCCTTCGGGAAATAAGAACTATTGCTTCTCATGACAAGATTAAGGTTAAAGGTTCTTTATTGTCATTTGCATCGCATGCGGTACATGAGGTGGAATGAAATTCTGTACCCAAGGTCCCAGTTACATCCAAAAATGGCAAAGAAAAATATAAGGTATACAACAGTGTATAAGATACACAGTGCCTTTCGAAAGTATTCGGCCTCCTTGAACTTTTCAAACTTTTGCCACATTTCAGGCTTCAAACATAAAGATATAAAATTTTAATTTTTTGTGAAGAATCAACAAGTGGGACACAATCGTGAAGTGGAATGAAATTTATTGGATATGTCAAACTTTTTTAACAAATAAAAAACTGAGAAGTGGGACGTGCAATATTATTCAGCCCCCTTGCGTTAATACTTTGTAGCGCCGCCTTTTGCTGCAGTTGCAGCTGCAAGTCTCTTGGGGTTTGTCTCTATCAGTTTTGCACATGGAGAGACTGAAATTCTGCCCATTCTTTCTTGCAAAACAGCTCGAGCTCAGTGAGGTTGGATGGAGAGCGTTTGTGAACAGCAGTCTTCAGCTCTTTCCACAGATTCTCGATTGGATTCAGGTCTGGACTTTGACTTGGCCTTTCCAACACCTGGATACATTTATTTGTGAACCATTCCATTGTAGATGTGTCTTTATGTTTTGGATCATTGTCTTGTTGGAAGATAAATCTTCGTCCCAGTCTCAGTTCTCTTGCAGACTCAAACAGGTTTTCTTCCAGAATGGTCCTGTATTTGGCTCCATCCATCTTCCCATCAATTCTGACCATCTTCCCTGTCCCTGCTGACAAAAGCAGGCCCAAACCATGATGCTGCCACCACCATGTTTGACAGTGGGATGGTGTGTTCAGGGTGATGAGCTTTGTCGCTTTTACGCCAAACATATCGTTTTGCATTGTGGCCAAACAGTTGGATTTTGGTTTCATCTGTCCAGAGCACCTTCTTCCACATGTTTGATGTGTCTCCCAGGTGCTTGTGACAAACTTTAAACAACACTTTTTATGGATATCTTTGAGAAATGGCTTTTTTCTTGCCACTCTTCCATAAAGGCCAGATTTGTGCAGCGTACGACTGATTGTTGTCCTATGGACAGACTCTCCCACCTCAGCTGTAGATCTCTGCAGTTCATCCAGAGTGATCATGGGCCTCTCGGCTGCATCTCTGATCAGTCTTCTTCTTGTTCCAGGTGAAAGTTTAGAGGGACGACCGGGTCTTGGTAGATTTGCAGTGGTCTGATACTCCTTCCATTTTAATATGATTGCTTGCACAGTGCTCCTTGGGATGTTTAAAGCTTGGGAAATCTTTTTGTATCCTAATCCAGCTTTAAACTTCACAACAGTATCTCGGACCTGCCTGGTGTATTTCTTGGTCTTCATGATGCTCTCTGCGCTTTGAACAGAATCCTGAGACTATCACAGAGCAGGTGCATTTATATGGAGACTTGATTACACACAGGTGGATTCTATTTATCATCATCAGTCATTTGGGACAACATTGGATCATTCATAGATCCTCACTGAACTTCTGGAGTGAGTTTGCTGCACTGAAAGTAAAGGGGCCGAATAATATTGCACGCCCCACTTTTCAGTTTTTTATTTGTTAAAAAAGCTTGACACATCCAATAAATTTCATTCCACTTCACTTTGCTAACTCTTCACAAAAATTAAAATTTTATATCTTTATGTTTGAAGCCTGAAATGTGGCAAAAGTTTGAAAAGTTCAAGGGAGCTGAATACTTTTGCAAGGCACTGTAGGTGCCAAGGTGCCAAGTATACAT